GGGGGGGCTGTGAGGAGCTGGTCTCTCCCAGCAGGAAGTCAATAGGCAACATCTGAACTTGATAACCGGGAAGGGGGCGGACAGGTATCAGGCAGAGGTAAGGGGGTAACAGCCAGGAGGCCGCAGCTGGGAGAGAGAGGAGGTGCCCCAGGCGCTGGGCCCCGAGGGGCAGTTGCCTGACAGGCCCCGACCACCCCACTTGTACGTTTAGCCTCCTACGCAGGCCACCTTGAGAAAATGTTTTGTATTTCCATTTGCTTCCCCACAAAGGGGACGGACCGGGCAGGTGGTTTTCGAGCTGGGTTTCAGGGGACCCCGCCTGGATTTTGTGGACAGTGGGGGCTGGGGGGAGGTTAGGGGGAGCCAGGCTTAGGGCACCCCACCCACTTCAGCCAGGGAAGCCCGCTTGCTCTGTGTGATCTACCGGGGCTTCAGGTGGGGCTTCTTTTGGATAAAAGGGTTTCACCTGATGGTCGCAGAGCCCGCTCTGTGTGCCCACGGCGGGGACTTTCTGGGCCCTCATTTCCTCAAAGCCCCTGGGCCCCGTCAGCCCACAGTGGTCCCTGGCCACCTCCTCCAACACGAGAGGGACTCCCTGCCCCCCGGGATGACTGGGCTGCCCCCACTGCTGCTCCCCTGGTGCTCAGGCGCCCAGGGCGCTGGCAGAACCCCGAGGGCCTCTGGCAGCCCCCGACTCCTGCGGCATTTGCAGGTACAAAGACTACCGGGAGCCCCCGTGGTCGGAACACAAGTACGACATCTCCAAGGACTTCTGGGCCGTCCTGGCGGCGCGGCTGGCCTTCGTCATTGTCTTCCAGGTACGTCGGGCCCCTGCACCCAGGAGTCTGAGAATTCACGTCAGACAGGGTGAGAGAGGCCGGAGCTGGCCGGCCTCAGGGCTCAGCGCCTGGAGACCTGGGGACGTGCCCACGGAGTCATCCGTCAGTTTAAGTTCCACCCATGTGTGTGCTGTTTTTATTTTATTTTCCTAATTTCTTTAAAGCCTGGTACTTGTCTTACTTGGTGATGCGTGACCAGCGGGTCATGTCTGAAGCCTCCCAGCCACGGAATCCAGAATCCTTCAGAGACGGTTCCTATTTACGGAGCTCGGAGTCTTTCAAGAAGGGTGGCTGCCCTGGCTGGGTGGCTCAGTGGGTTAGAGCGTCGTCCCAATACGCCAAGGTTGAGGGTTCGATCCCCGGTCAAGGCACGTACAAGAATTGAACCCATGGCCCTGGCCGATGCGGCTCAGTTGGTTGGGTGTCGTCCCATGCCTCAGAAGGCCGCAGGTTCGCTTCCCGGCCGTCAGGACACGTGCCCCATTGCAGGCTGGATCCCCAGTGGGGGGCGTGCAGGGGGCAGCCGTTCAGGGTTTCGCTCTCAGGTTGATGTTTCTCTCTCTCCCCCTCTCTCTTCCTCTCTCTCTAAAAGTCAATTTAAAAATATTTTTAAAAAAGAATTCAACCAATGAATGCATAAACAATGGAACAAATCGATGTTTCCCTCCCTTTTCTCTCTCTCTCAAAATCAATAAATAAACATTTATTAAAAAGAAGGCTGGCAAGCACGCCCCAAGGGGCTGCCGGCTGGTTTCCTGCCTTGGTGATACCTTCTGGAAAACCAGGGCCAGGAGCTCAAAGGTGGTGCCCACGGGGTCACTGGCAGGGGGGTGGCGCTGCTGGGTGGGCAGAGGTGGGGAGCCTTCCCCGGGGCCCTCCTCCCCACGCCCACCCACCGACTCTCCCTCCAGAACCTGGTCATGTTCATGAGCGACTTCGTGGACTGGGTCATCCCGGACATCCCCAAGGACATCAGCCAGCAGGTCCACAAGCAGAAGGTGCTCATGGTCGAGCTGTTCATGCGGGAGGAGCAGGGAAAGCAGCAGCTGCTGGACACGTGGATGGAGAGGGCCCCGAGGAAGGACGCGCCCTGCAACAACCACAGCCCCGGAGCCGGCCAGGACGGCCCCGAGTACCGCGGGGGGGCCCTGTAGCGCCCCGCCACCTCTCCGGGCAGCGGCGCCCCACCCCCACCAGGTCCGGTGGCTCCTGCGTTTGCGGCAAACCTTGACGGCCACCTTCTGATAGGACAACATTTTTTTTAATCTTTTTTCTGTTTGTTTTTTTTCTTCCCCTTGTTTTTGCACAAAACCATTACGCAGGGAATTTTTTTATCTTTTCTATTCAAGGTTAATCAGTGATTGCTGGGCTGGGGCAATCGCGCAGCTGGGGCCTGCGCTTTGCAGCCGCGGGTCTGGCCCCGGCGTCTCCTCTGGGGCGGCGGGGAGCAGAGGGGTCCCCGACACACCTTCCTCAATCCTTCTGGTGCCCTGACAGGTGCTGATGGCCTGCCAGGCACCGGGCACCTGCTGGTGCCGCGTGGAAAGAGACCAGAGACTTGGTCGAGGAGAGAGCCGTTTGAGGCCCGGCCCCCGAGACCGCCCGCCTCTAGGTCGGGAGAGCGGGCCAGTGTTCGCCGCTTGCCCGTGGTTCCGAGTCGGGCGCTCTGGCCAGGACAGGTGGCCGGCCCGTGGGTCAGCAGGCGTGGGAGCGGCCGGCTTACTCCCGGAGAGCCAGCGGGCGCAGGGCCCGAGGGAGCCGGCGACCAGCCCGTTCGGGGTCCCCACCGTCAGCTACACACCTGCCCACCCCAGCGAGCCGACCTCACAGCTGTCATTTTCCTGGGGGGGCGGCAAACCCGGGACAGGACCACAGGCAGCGAGAGGTCACTCGGAGGCATCTCTGGGGGGACAGGGTCTCGGGAAGTCCTACGGCTCCCAGGGGGTCTGTCGACAGCTGTAGGATACTTATTGAGTTTTTTTCAATCGACTCTACGGTGGATTTGAGGGGGTTTTCCTGTAGCTCAAAGGTGGAAGGAATTTCTTTTACTAGTTAACCAGATATCGTTGAGAGGAATTTAAGATACTGTTACTACCAAAGATTTTTATGAATAAAGGCCTCTATTTTGGTAACACTTCTCTACATTTTTACTCCCAGGAATGTTCCTGTTGGACAGTTAGGATTTTAAAAGCTCGTGCAGACAGGTCTCGCGGGTGGCGGGGACCGGATTTGCAGGTAGACTGGCTGGAAGCTCCCCCGAGCTCCTCGGGCGCCCAGGGGCGCAGGGAGAGCGGTCTCTGCGCGGGGAGGCGGGAGGCACGCGCTCGGCTCCAGCCCGGGCGGCGCGGGGCTGACGCTCCTCGCTCCTCCAGCTGCCAACTCCGCCAGGGCCCGCAGGCCGCCGCGATGTCCTTTGTTTGCTGAAATCGCGCGATCGGGATGCTTGTGTTCTCGTGTACAGGAAGTCATTGGAAACGGGGGTTTTGTATATGAATCTTGTATTAAAAACCAGGTGATTACCAAAAATCCTTTCACGGAAACCATTTTTTTAAGTGACTGTGCACAGATCCGGAGGGCAGTGGCTCGACATTCTCCTGAGTAAATGTGGGTGGGTGACACTTTCCTCACTGAACGCTGTCCCGTGACATCTGCCCAAGGGAGCTCCCGAGGTGTCTCCTATGTCCTGAGCCCCGTGGCTGAGCTGTGAATTTGGGCCGGACTTAGAGGCACCGTTTCCTTTGGTGATGGACACATGACATGCTCTAGGTGTTCCTGAGACTTCCTCTCTCTGTGGGTATGTGTGTGCATGTGTGTGCATGCATGTGTCTGTGTGCACGTGTGTGCAGGGGCTTGTGTGTGCATGTGTGTGCATGCATGTGTCTGTGTACACGTGTGTGCAGGGGCTTGCGTGCGCATGTGCGTTTGTGTGTGCCTCTGCGTGTGCACGTGTCGGGGTTTGTGCATGCACATATGTGCATGCTTGTATGTGCTTGTATGCATGTGTGTGTGCACATGTGTGTCAGGATGGGAGTTGTCACACCTTCCCAACAGCCTCTTCCATGAGCCCCAAATCCTGACCCCTGACCCCACCAACCCAACAGAGTAGCACTGGGGGTTTCATGGAGCTAAACTTTCCCCCCAGCCTTTCGGGGACTGGCCCACAGTCACCAGTGTTTTCATTTGGGTAAGTGGGACACCTGTTTTTCAACCACCACCTAGAGCCACCATCATTTCATGAAAGAAGGGACGTTTGTTAACAACAAACATCAGTGGGCAGCACAGCCCTGTGAGCTGGGATAGACGGATGGACGGACAGACGGGCAGACAGGTGGGTAGACGGATGGGTGATGGATAAGCGGGTGGGTGGGTAGATGGGTGAATGGGTACGTGGATGACAGGCAGACAGACTGACAACCGAGCTTTTCTGCCTTTGAGCTGAGTGGACCTTGGAATGGGCTGGCAGGGGTGTTGGTGGAGGGGGTCGGGGTGCCGGGAAGGTAAGGTCTGATGCCTCTGCCCACGGCACACAGCCCACCCTCCCACAGCCTTTGGAAGAGGAGCCCCCCCGGGCACTGACTGGGCGGCACAGGAACCTCAGCCAGCCCTCCTCGGGCGGCGTGAGCCCCGCGGCCAGGACCCTGGGGCGCACCTGGGAAAGGCAGCCTTGTGAAACAGGCCTGATTTCCTCAGCTCTGCCGTTATTTATGCACTGTGATCCATTCTCACTCTCCCCTTCCCTTCACCTGTACCCCTACCCCCCCATTTTTATAGACATGCGACCAAAAACTGCACGCACCTTAAGTGCACAACCACATGGCCCCCCACACACACACCTCTGTAGCCAGGACTCAGAAGCAGGGTGTCGTGGCACCTCGGAAGCCTCCCTGGGGGCTCCCTCCCGGTCACCCCTCCGCACCCAGCCGTAGCTAGGGTCCTGACGGAAGTCCAGGCTCCGCCACAAACGCCGTCCCTGGTTTGGCTTGTTGGTGGCTGCCGCCCTCTGCCGCCCGCCTGAGGCTCTGCACGCGGAGGAAAGGGCCCAGCTGGGGGGCAGCGCCACCTACCTGTCTGCTCTCCGGGCAAATGACCACGAATGTAGTGGCTTCGAACAACGCACGTTGATCAACCCCTAGTTCCACAGGTGAGACGTCTGGCCAGGTCTCACGGGGCCGGCCGACATCAAGGTGTCGGCAGGGCCGGCCCCTCCCGCAATCTCCGAGCCAGCGATGGCGGGGCGTCCTTCCTTCTCAAGCCGCCACCTCTCTAGTTAGATTGGGCCCCCCGGAATAATCCAGGATAAACCCCCCTCTCGAAATCCTTAATCTTCATCACACCTGCAGAACCGCCCCTGCCGTGAGAACTAACCTACTCCCAGGCCTGGGGTTTGGATGTGGACATCTTGGGGGCGCGGTGTTATTCTGGCGGCCACATACCCCTTCCCCCCCAGCAAGGAGGCTTTTTCTTTAGGAAAAAAAACTACCCCCAAGCAAAGCTCAGAGTCCTCATGAATGAGAGAGACCAAAACAGACCCAAAAAGGGGGAAACAAAAGAGCTGAGGGGTGGAGACAGAAACAGGGAGGTGAACAACTCTGCTGCTCAGCCGCACAAATGACCGATTTGCATCCAGGACACCAGTGAAACATGCCTTTATTTCTCCTTAAAACACGCTAACGTGGAAGAAAAACCTGTACACTGGACCTCATCAAAAGCTAAAACTTCTGTGCGCCAAAGGACACAACAGCGTGAAACGGCATTTCACGCAATGGCAGGAAACATTTGCATATCACTTACCTGATGTGGGGTTCATATCTGGAATATGTAAGTGACCCCTTCAACTCAGCCCCAAGAAGGCAAGCAACCCCAGTGAAAATGGGCAGGCCTGGCCGCCGGTGTGGCTCGGTCGGTTGAGGGCTGTTCCCCGGCTCAATTTCCAGTCGGGGCACATGCCCAGGTTTCCAGCCCGGTCCCCAGTAAGGGACGTGCAGGAGTCAGCCGATCGATGTTTCTCTCTCCCTCTGCCTTCCTCTCTCTCTCTCTAAAATCAATAAAAACATATTTTTTAAAAATATGGGCAGAGGACTTGATTGGACATTTCTGCGGACAAGTTACACGGAGGGACCCCCAGTGCTCAGCCACTGGTCCCCTTTCCCTCCTGCCCTCCCTCTACAGGTGACTCGAAATACTATTTGAGTCCAGGTGTCCCAGAGAAACAGAACCGATGGGAAATACAGAGACCTGCACGGGGGGGTTGCTGTACGAACTGGCTCGGGGGGTACGGGAGCCGGGAAGTCCCTCCACCTGCCGTCTGCAAGCTGGGGGACCAGGAAAGCCAGTGGTGTGTTCAGTCCGAGTCAGGAGGCTTGAACACTGCGGGGCGCAAGTGGTGCGAGTCCCAGGCTGAGCCCAAAATCCAAGACCCAGGCGCACCGCTGTCTCAGGGCAGTAAGAGCGGAGAGGGCCCTGCCTTTTTGTTCTGTTTGGACCCTCGGCAGACTGGATGGTGCCCCCGCCCCCGGGGAGGCCCATCTGCCTGACTCAGTCTACAGATTCAAGTGCTCATCTCTCCCAGAGCCCTCACAGACACGCCCAGAAACATGGTTTACCAGCTACGGGGCAGCCTCCAGCCCAGTCAAGCTGACATAAAATTAACCATTACAAACACCATCTATCTGCAGAATACTCCCCAATTCGCATCTCTGCCCAGGTCTCTGCACCCCACTTCCCAGTCAACATCTCTAGAAGGTCCTCTCCCAAACGCAGCCACTTGTGCCTTCCCAGGTCAGTCAAGGGACAGTCCATCCTTCAGACCCCAGCAGCACCCTCAGTTCCTCTCGTGTATGTCCAGCCCCCAAATCTAAAGAAGGCTGAGCCCTTCTCTTTCCCTCTGCCGCAAATGTGGAGGCTTGAACATTTGCGGGGGGCGAGTGGTGTGAGTCCCAGTTTGGGGGGGAGGAGGCGAGAAGGAAGCGGCTGCTAATGGGTGCCAGGTTCCCACTGGGGGTATTGAAAATGTCCTAAAATTAGCTAATGTTGAGGGCTGGACAATCTTACGAATATACGAAAAACTGGTGAATCATCATGTTAACGTAAGAAAACATTCAAGCCTGTGAAGACTTTTTTTGTGTGAGTTTATTTGAGCCAAACTGTCGACACCTGCCGAGAAGCAGAATCTCAACGGATTTGAGATTGGCAGTTTTGCACCGTTTTATGCGTTACAATCAAAAGAGGAGACGTAAGTGGGTTAAATGAAATCCATGGGTGACAGGTTAGCGAGGCGGGAGAAAGCAAAGCGGGGAAACCTCTGGGACCGGATAGAAAGTCAAATGATGGACACGCTTGTTTCTCAGGTGGGTGCAGGAGAGTTAACAGTCAACAATTCACTCAATAACCATGAGAGGATTTGTGGTCTCCACAGAGCAAGGCCCGGGCTTTGAAGGGTCTGGAAAAAGGAAAATCACTTTGACATCCCAACGATATGTTACCATAGATGCAAAAGACAAAAGACAGGCTCAGTTAAGGTGAAAATTAACCTTTGTCAGGGAAGATTCTAGCCTAGGACAGAACTGCCCACCATAAGCTTTTAGTAAAAAAGTGTTCATTTCAGACCATCCTTGTGGTTACTTTAGGTCTCTGAGTTTGCAAGGCCGCCTGCAGGCCTTTCCTGAGCTTGTCCAGTTTAGCATGTGGCCCCTTTTCGCCCACAGTACACTTCAAAAGTGTAAGTTACACGGGATATGAGTTCTCTCTCAATTAAAAGTGTGTGTGTGTGACTCAGATGCCTTTGCTCCTCACACTCTGCAGGGGCTCCATCTCAGGGGGAGAAGCCGGCCGTCCTGGCCTGTGAGGCCCTTCCTAATCTGCGCCTGCCCTGACCTGCCCCTGCCACCCTGACCTGCCGGGCCCCTGCTGCCCCTGGAACCCGCTGCTGACCTNCCAGCCGTGCTGCAGACCTGCTGGGCCCCTGCTGCCCCTGGAACCCGCTGCTGACCTGCTGGGCCCCCTGGAACCCGCTGCAGACCTGCTGCTGACCTGCTGGTCCCTCTGTTGCTCCTAGAACCTGCTGCTGACCTGGTGGGCCCCCTGCTGCCTCTGGAACCCGCTGCCGACCTGCTGGGCTCCCTGCTGCCCCTGGAACCTGCTGCAGACCTGCTGGACCCCCTGGAAACTGCTGCAGACCTGCTGGTCCCCCTGCTGCTCCTAGAACCTGCTGCTGACCTGCTGGTCCTCCTACTGCCCCTGGAACCTGCTGCAGGCCTGCTGGACCCCCTGGAACCTGCTGCAGACCTGCTGGACCCCCTGGAAACTGCTGCAGACCTGCTGGACGCCCTGGGGCTCCTGGAACCTGCTGCAGACCTGCTGGGCCCCTGCTGCCCCGGGAACCTGCTGCAGACCTGCTGGGCCCCCTGGAACCCGCTGCAGACCTGCTGGGCCCCCTGCTGCTCCTAGACCCCGCTGCAGACCTGCTGGGCCCCTGCTGCTCCTAGACCCCGCTGCAGACCTGCTGGGCCCCTGCTGCCCC